TGAATAAAAACAAAATAAATAATCAATAAATCAGTCCTGAGAAACACCACGAAATCTTGCTCAAAACTAAAGGGCATATAGCAGCATAATTAAATAGCTTGATGGTAAATGCAATTTTTACGTGAAATTAATGAATCAGGTATATAATAATATGGTGATTTTTTTACATTTCACCGAGACGTATAAGTATCTTTTCTCCATTACATTAGCTTTTGGGTGATGATAATGGTCTTTCCTGAACAAATGTATGAATACCCCTCTCAAGGGAGGGGTGAGCTTAGCTTCGTGTATATATCCGAAACCTATAAAAAATAAGACAAAAACATGACATTGTTCAAATTATTCTGGTTTAAAAAACTAATAGGAAACCTTCAATTATTTAATTTTTTTTTTGTCTTTATTACATTTTAATTCAAACGAATGTTGATTAAAGAACTATTCGTGAAATATTCGGCTAGTAGAATGCCATTAAAAATTTCACGTAATTACGGTGTTTCGCAGAGGCAAACAAACATTTCCACCGCAAATTTATTCCCATTTTCAGCACAAAATTAAATAGGGATTCAATTCCGAAAGACTGAAAACTGCTGTCATTAGCAGATGTTCAATTGATTAACTCTGAACCATTCTTCAGCGAGTCAATGAAAATCCTGTAAGTATTTGTTAGCAATTCTGGCTTAGGAAGATTATCACGAAATAATGTTCAGATATACAGAGTTTAAATTTAAAAAAATACCAGAAATAAGTAATTTTTTTTAAATATTTTTAAATGAATTCAATCATGTTTATTCGCTGTTCTTCTGGACAAAATCGTTTGTTCGGAGATTTTCAATATATATAAAATTTTAGTTTAAATTGTGTTAGTAAAAATGCATTATTTTATTTTTGTTTGTTTTGTTCTGTTTTGTTTTACTAAAACAATTTCCATTTTTAAAAAAACCTTTAATAAGTTATTAAAACAGCCTGATTCAATGTAAGTGTAAATGTGTAGAACATGCGTCCATTAATCACAATCTGGTTAGTCAAGATATAATAACAGTGGAAAATTAGCAGACGAGCATTTAATTCAAAAAATCTGGAACCAAACATTGTAATTTTTTTTTATTTTATTAACCGTCGTTGAACAGCAGACCCAATTTTGGGTTTATGAATAATGATGTTCAACTCCGTAGCCTTATAATTTTGAACCCATTGCAGAAGACAAAGGAACTCTTGAATCAGGTATTGGCCTTCGTGGAGGACTTTTTGATGGAACTAACTCGCATTTGCGTTACATGGAGAGGAAGACAACGAGAACCCCCCATTGTAAGCCTGACGGAAAGAGGACTCTAACCCATGTTCCGTCTACCACTTAGCATATATCACGTCAGCACTGTTGTCGGTGCAAGCCAGGTGCGGATCCGTATCGACAAGTCATTACTGGGATTCGAAACCGGGTCGCCTAAGTGGAAGGTGAAAACTCTATCCCCTGAGCCATCGTGGCTCAAACATTTTAATTGTACTTAAGCATATGTGAGAAAGAAGAAACGTAATGATGAAATGAATAATAACTAGAAAACGCTTGGAGGTTTCACTGCCTGTTCACTTTGTTCACCAACGCCCAGGGATTACAGTGTAATCTCTGTTGAAGTCATCGCTGTCTGATAACAAAGGTCCATAAATTTCGTACGGGTGCTTTGCTCTCAAACATATAATGCTACAAATGATAAAAAGGCCTACTCACTTGCAAAGTCATGACTACAGCCTTTAAAGTTAACTTCTATACGAGATATTTGGAACAAAATTCAAGAAAAAATGTACAATGTTTATTAGGAATAGTTAAATAATTCGATTATAACTATTAGTTTACTATTTTAACTATTAGTGATAACTAAGGCCCGGATTTTGATGACATTTGCATTTTTTTGCATTTTTTGCATTTTTGGACATTTTTTGTCCTTTAGAGCATTTTTTGAGATTTATAGGGCATTTTCTTTAAAATTTTGGGGCGTATTTTGCATTTTAAAGCATTTTTTAAATTTTTTGTTAAATTTTTATTATTTTTTATAATTTTTTATTATTACACTGTCTTTCAAACAATGAAGAAAATTTCTAGGATATTAACAGGTGAAGCAATATCTTTTCAAATTGAAGAAGAATTGTCAGTAAGTGTGACCGTCCTTTTCAAGTACGCTCCAATAACATCAGTAGACGTTGAAAGAAGCTTCTCCTGGTATAAAAATTTGCTTTCAGACAAGAGACGCTCGTTTACATTTCAAAATATCAACAAAAAAAAATTTAATAATCCACTGTAATTCTGATATTTAGTAATATTATGAGGTGGAAGTTGTTATATTCATTTAAGTTTCTATACAAAATGAAAATGTTTTGGAGTCAATATATTTTCTTTTCTTTTGTTATTTTTGGATATAAAACATATTTGTCAAACTTTCATGAACGTAGAACAAGTATTGCATCGCTTTATATTTTTTGAAACGACTCATAATAATTTTAAAGAGTAAAACATTGTTTTAGTTCAATATTTTTACTTCTATTTAAGTCATGTCATAAGGCATTTTTAGCACAATTTTCGCATTTTAAGAGCATTTTTTGCAGTTCATAAGGGCATTTTTTGCACTTTTTAAGGGCATTAATTGAGATTTTTTTGGTCATCAAAATCCGGGCTCTAGTGATAACAAAAAAAGGAGGAATTAGTAGGTTATTCGATCCGATTCCGAAGAACGCGGGCAGTGCCTGTACCATCCTCTTAATCATAAAATGCACCAGATGGGATACAAGAAGTTTGCTCTTTAACAAGACATGACAAGACACATTTACAAGACATCAACTACTGATTTATGAAAACATATCTATTTCAAAACAATTAATAAGTTGTTGTAAATTATAACATTTAAATACGTTATCATGAAATACAGCATAATAAGAGAATAGCAAAGGATTACTTTAAAATGTAGAAACACTTTACTTAAAATATAATAAAGGATTACTTTAAAATATAGAGAGGATTACTTTAAAATATAGAACTTTTAACTTTAAGTCTTTACTTTTGAGTAATATTCAAATTCTAAAAAGTAAATGTAGCTGAGAATAGTTAGAATGGATGATATATAAATAAGACAGGAAAATATCTTTGAATTAGAGATAAAGAAATATTTTACTGTTAAGCATGACCTTTATGACATTCATTCATTTTAAATTGAGGACAACGATAGAAATCTGAATCTTTATGCAAAAAAATTGGATCTTACCATGTCATATATTTTTTTAACAAAAATGGACAGACCAATCATAATTTTTGTCTGATTTTTTGACATATAAATATCAGGCTGATACAAATAGCTTTAATTTAAATTTGAAATCAAATAAGAGTTCGATGACATTCGAGGCAACTACTTATGTATCTAGCATGGATGCCACAGGTGACAAAAAATGTAAAAAGTGGTTATTAATAAAAATAAAAAAAATCCGTTATTAGAAATTAAAGTTAGCAACTTTTTCTAGCGTATTTTTTAGTTTATTGAGGATGATTGCATTCCGTTACTGACATTGTTTATAAAAAAAAATAGAGAGCACATCAGTGACTTTTTTCGTAGTCGTAATATTTGAAGTTGAAAAGTGAAAGCCTAAGTTATGTAGCTTTCGCTTTTGGGGAAAATTCCTTCCACTGGTAGCCGAGTTACTGTTTTAATGCATGATCCTCTGTTTTTTAAATTACAATTGTAAATTGTTTTTGTTTAAAGTTATTTTCCACACCACTACATGTAAATGACTCAAAGAGTTATATAAAACGCCATTTTGTTCCAGCTCTCTAGTGAGGAGACAAAATTCTTAAAAATTATGATTAAGCTTTAGTTTTCAATTGTCCAACATTCTATAAAAAATTTTACAAGAAACTTAAAAGTTGCTTGCCTTGTACGAAGAGTTTACTATGTCTAATTATAAATTATCAATCACTCTTTATTTTATTCTGGATAAGAAAACTACTAAATTTATGTTGGTGTTACTTATGCCACTTACCAATACCATCAAGTTGCTTGATATCAAACGAATTTTAAGACAGAGGGTGTGTTTTTCGTTTCTTCAGTAGCGCCATCTATGACCAAGAATACGACTTCAGCAACACACATGTCACAGTCCGTTTTACAGTGAGGACCCCATAAAACTCCATTCAGTCGTCCACAGATCATAATTTTGACCTGAACCAGAGAACTATCAATTTCCAATTCATTACCCACAGAGAAATTGGTTTGTTATGAGGACTTTGTGACCCTGACAAATTTAACGTGCACCAGTCACCATTTAATACAAGAAGATTCTACGACCGGTGGGATTCCCGTTCTCACGAACACGACCCCAACGTCCTAACAACCAGGCTATTCCGGCCCCTTGATTTATGTACTATCCCGGAAGCAGAACGGAATGTAGCTGCAGCTCTATCTTTATAAATCCTAATATGTCTGTATATACAATAACGCCGTCAGTCTGAAAATCTTTCTTTTGAAAATTCGACTTAGTCTGACATACGTGCTGCATAATTTTCAAACATAAACTTCGTAAAAGTTACGCATAAAATCTTTATGTTGTTTAAATTTAAGGTAAATTTTAAACAATGATTCTTAAAAAAAAGTAGAATAAATCCACATTCAAGCCTGCAATAAAAAAAATATGTACGTTTTGTTCAGTGCGAAGTTTTCTCAATTTCGGTTTTTAATTTTTATTTAGTAGAAAATTAGAGATGTTTTAAAAAGAAGGCTCCACAATTTCTCCCTTTGTTACAATTCTTTTTTTAAAAAATAAAAGGAAAACTCAGTTGAAAAATAATCTGCAGAGGCATTTACATTCTGGAAGTTTTCTGTGTTTGATTATGCAACCAATATACGAAATATTAATTCTTAATAACTACATGTCCACTAATGAATTGAACTTACTATTTAGTTATTTCAATTCAAATTTTAATGTATGTGTATTGCAATGCATTATAAACCTTTCTTTTTCTTCAGATGTTGTAGTTATTGTGGCCTCTGTTGTGGTGCTATCAGTAGGGAGCAGTGGTCAAGTGTTCGCCACATCAGCCTTAAGGGGTCTACGTTTCTTCCAGATCCTTCGAATGGTTCGGATGGATCGCAGAGGAGGTACATGGAAACTCCTCGGATCAGTGGTCTATGCGCACAGACAGGTAATTTATTCTATTCCTTGGCGAGAATTGAATCTTATCTCTTTCCATATCAAACCGCCATCTGTCACCAAATGCATATGAATCATTCATGACTGCGTGGCATCGCACTCAGCCAAGTGAAAAGGAGTTACTTTTATTGCTGCGATGAGGAGATATTTCAGGGTACTGTCATTTTCAGTAAGCTGAAGTGGCAAAGTTAAGATCGATAAGATTTGGGGTTTTAAATTTCGTGCAAAGGAATAATCTCTCTTGGGTGAGACTTTTAATTTTTCTAAAATCGAAAAATGCGACGCTGGGAAATTGATTTCAATAAAGGAACCAGATAAGTTTCGGAATGATGAATGTGACATTAAATGGTTAAAATTGCTTTCACGATTTGCAGTGGCGTTTATAAACGACGTGACGTTTGTATGAAAATAGATTTTTCTTTACTTGAATGATTAATAATGGTATTGTTTTGTTAATGTTATTGCTGTCTAAAAGTGTTAAATACAAACGATTCAAGAACTTTGGTTTTTTCCAAAATGAAATAACGCGCCTCTCGAAAATTGATTTCTTTGAAAAAAAAAGATTAATTTTCGGAATAATGAATTAAAATTTGAATGGTTAAGATTATTAATATAGCAGATTGCAGTGTCTCTTAGCACAAAAGGAGAGTTAAATGAATCTTCATCCATACAAATTTGAGCATTTTTAAATTGTTCCAAAATTTATAATGCTTCATATCAAAATAATTTGTGTGTATTTTGATTCCTACACTTCTTAGATTCTCTATTTTTGACATTCCACAAATCATTATTTTCGTACCTTTTATACGCAAGTTTATTTTTGTACGTCTTGCTATTATCATATCAATTTTAATCATTTGTTCCTATAATCGCACCATTTATTCCTGTTGACTCCGAATTTTTATTAAACATATTTTTCATTCTTTTTTTTTTCATTACTTCGTATTAATTCAGGTCAAAGTAAGTGAAAAATATTACATATAGCATTTTAATAATTTATGGTTATGAAATATAGCATGAAACACAGGTGTTTCTTTATTCTGTGTTAAAAGTAAAATTTTCCATACGCGGCTTACTTCTAAAAATTAATTTTTCATATTTTCACTTATTTGCAGCTATTTAAATTTAAGCGAAACAGTTACACATCAATAAAATTTCTCTATTTAAAAAATTAATTATATTGATAAATTTTTGAACATGAATAGAAAAAAAAATTTCCCTCTACTTATTTTTGGATTTTATGTTATAATACAAATATAATTCCGATAATCTAACAGATTTTTTTAGCCACTATTAGACTGTTTTTTTTTAATTAAGAATGCTCAAAATATATTTTTGCTTGTAATTCGAGCTTGAGAAAGAAAATACATAAAAGCGACATATGTGTCCCATCTGAGTTAAACGGAAAAGTCGTCGCATTTGTACTATCCCAATATTGTTTGTAAATATTCCAACTACTTTATTAATCACTCATAGTAAATATGTATAGATTTTTTCTCACTTTATTAACATGCTAGATCAAATGTTATCCCTCAATTTTGCAAATTTGTGAAATTCGTACTATTTTATTTAAGTCATCGGGTGTATTGTATTTTTTTGTCTGACACCATTTGCTATAAAGCATATTTTTCAACGTCATAATTATACGTCATGAATCATAAAAGGATGCTTCACGGCCTCAGACACCCAATTAAATGTCCAAGTCCAAATAACTACACCTGTTATGATTTTTAATAAGTTAATGGTGACCAATGATAACTTACATCTTCTAAAAAAGAAAGGAATTATAACAAATTGTTCTTACTTGAACTTTTCCAGATCATCAGCAGTACTGCTAACTATCTTAGTTCCTAGTTAAGTTTCCTAGTTATAAGTTTTAAAAAAAAACAATTTAATTCTTTCTGCGTTAAGTCTTAGAATACGAAACCTCTTCTTATTTTTGTCAATGAGTCTTAGCTACAGTATTTTCGAAGGTGATTAAATCTTAATTCATTGAACAGCAAAAATTAAATCAATCTCTCGAATATATTTATGAGACATTATCTAGTTTAGCAGCTTTATTAGTTGCCAAACTAGATAATATGTTCGAATTTTATAGACTGAATATTTCTTATTACTGATTTACATTAGCTATAATTTCCTTCACTCGCAATACAGATACTCTTCGATAATCCCCGATACGTCCCTTAAACGAGTATCATAAAACAGGAACATTAGATACTTTTATGGAGTAGTTACACCCTATATAAAATCTCTTCCAGAAATTGCTGAGCCGTTCTTGTTACACGTTATAAATCACTGCTCTTTTTAATACCTGTTATTGGCGCTTTTCTTTGACGAACAAAATAATCCCACTTAATACTTTTCCAGCCAAGAATTTCAAAGAAATATCAATTCTGAAAGAAAATAAAAAATTAATATTCCATTTACTCTTACGAGAAATGCGATATTTTGGAAAGAATAACAATTTTACGTCTATGATGAATTTGAATTTCTTGTTCATTTTTACTAGGTCGTAAAATTTTATTTCCATCTTTGAGAATGAGAATGTTCCACGCAGTAATAACATTTTTATTCCTCTTTCAACTTATTATTTTCTGGCATTTTATTTTTAGAAGTTAGTGATGGAAAACTACTTAAGTTGTCAATACATCATAAAAATTAAAAGCTTTTCTATTGAAAAAAAACTTATAATTTAAAACAAAATCTTTCGTTTAAAAAGAGATGCATTGTTTAAATATATTGCACTGAATAATAATGCAATTTGAATGAAACAATAGTGTATTTGTAGTTTCTGCTCAAAAAGATTACAATTTCGTTAGAAAATCAGAACATAAGCTTTTCCAATCACAAATTATATTAATTATTACAAATACAAATTATTATAAATATCTATTGTATGCACAAATATTATACAAATTATTACAAGTATCTATTGTATGTACCTAAACCCTTATTGAAAACCAAATTTTATAATTAGTTATGCATATATTTGCATCAGCATGTCCCATTTTGTGTTCCTTTTTAGCTTTCCATTCAATATTTACTTTACCATTACGTGCTTATTAACACTATAGGTTTACGAACGTCTCTTATATACCTATCTCTACGAGCACACCTCAATTTGACGCATGAACGAATACATATAACAGCACCAGAGATGCCAACTTGCTCCGGACAGCAAATGTATATTTTAAAGTGGTAGTTTATTAATTGTGATTCTTGGTTTAATAAATTCAATTTAGTAGATTTTTATCCACCACTATTTCTAAATAATTCGTAGACTTATACAATTCACCACTATATATTTGCGAAATTTACTTAGTTATTTACCGTTTTTTTTCCGATTATTTTGGTGTGTCCGGAGCAGTTGGCATCTCTGCACTTNATTTGATTCTGATGATTCTTTCATGGTGTTGCATTTTCTACAAACAGCAGTTTATATACTATAAGAAGAAAATGAAAATATGAGATTATTTATGAAATATTCGAACTAAGCAACTGAAACCTTCAAAATCTGACACCCTGACATCAATTGACATTCTGCGTTTGTTCTTTCTATTATTGCTTATCGGCAAAAAGTTGTTTATCGCTTGTTTCATTTGACATAACGGATCGAAGTATTGTCGGTACATTCATCCTTATTATTGATGTGGTGTTTGCATGTTTACTCAAAATTTTGTAGAGATAGATATACTACAAAGAGAATTTTAATATTTCAACGCTTTTGAAGAAAATAGACTTCAATATATATTTACCTCGATCAAAGGATAAAAGTCATTACAAGAGATAAAATAAAAATGCAAACGGGTTTTGTAACTTTCCTTATAAAATTCGAAATGCATCAAAATAACGCGTCCCGTAAACTTAGTGTTAAAAAGAAAGGAAAAAAAATTCTGAAACGCAAAATTTTTTATAATTTATTCGTTTAACAGTTTTTCTGAAATTTCAAAAAACTTACAGTTTCAAAGCCCATAAAGTTATGAAAGTTACAGAAATTATTATTCACTGTGTTTATTATTCCAAAAGTTTATTACTTCAAATTATAAACGGAAGTGAATATATTCAGGTAAAAATTTACAAATGACATCACAATGCACGGAAAATATACATGCAGAACGTTCTGTAATAATGGTCTTCAACTTTAACTACAAACTCTTAAGCGCATATCCTAATTACTATCTTTAGGCAATAGCACGAAAAATATGCATTCAAAATTCTCCGAACTAATCGACTTTCATTTTCACTTCAATAAACTTACGCACATATCCTAATTCTTATCTTCAGTAGATTATTGATCTAATTGTTTTCTTCTGTTACCTTACTTTAAACTTCTGTTACTTTTGTTACTTTACTTACTTCATTTATTTTCAAACTTATTTTTAAGTACCATATTTTTAATTTTTTTTATCTTCGTGAGGGGTAGACGAATTTTTTTCAGTTTGCTTGCAAAGTAAATTTTATTCATTTGAAAATAAAAATTAGGTTTTCTGAACCAAATTATTCATTTATTCATATTAGTATATCAATAAAAAACGAAAATTGCTTTTCATTAACATCTGTTTTTATTCAAGGTTTATAAAAAGTTTATAAAAAGGTTTCAAGTATTAGATTGGATCTAGATCTGTTGCTATAAGCGTGAGGGTACATTTAAATGCAAATATATTGTTCGAATAGGGTTTTCAATACAGTATACATGGCTCTTTACAAATTTGGTGATGTACTGAAGTTAATATAAAGGATATTCATAATTTTTTCATACTCAAATAAAAAAGATAACTACAAGTTAACTCATACTTTTTGGTTAAATGAATATTTTGTATTTATATGAAATTTTGTATCTATATTAAATTTTGTATTTATTAAAATTTTTCATCTAGAATTGAAAAGAAAAAGGTAATAATTTAAAAAAATTTCATTCAGAGTTTCAGCGCAAATAAGAACCTTCCTCATTTTCGATATAATCTCAGTTTTTTCCTACATTTATTTAGA